CTCACAGTCTAGTAGGTTACAAGTCCAAATTCAGGGCGTCAGCTCCAAGAGAAGGCTTTCTCTGTTGGCTCTGGAGGAAAGTCCTTGTCATCAGACTTCTCCTGTTCTGGGAACATCTCAGTGCAGTGACTTCCGGTCCAAAGGATGCCCTCTGCTCCCGCCACTGCCTTCTTGGTGGTATGAGGTCCCCAAGTCTCTCTGCTTGCTTGTCTCTTTTATATCTCAAAACTGACTGGCTTAAGACACTATCTAATCTTATAGATTTCATCAATATAACTGCCACTTATCCATCTTACTACATCATAGTGATAGAATATACAACACATAGGGAAATCACATTAGATGACAAAATGGTAGACAATCATAAAATACTGGGAATCATGACCTAGCCAAGTTGACACATATTTTGGGGGGACACAATTCAATCTAGCTTATCTTTTGGCTTTTGTGTATTGTTAGTTATGGTTTGTATCCTATTAATACCTTGTATTAGGGCCTCTAGCATTGATCCTATTCTTTCTTCTGTGATCTTTGTAATTGTTCGTTTTATATTTATCCTAGAGAAATAAGAGCTATCACTCATATAGACATATGCACACCCTTGTCCATTACAGCATTGCCCACAATAGCAAAAAGATGGAGACAACCTAGATGTCCATCAACAGTGGAATGGATAAAGGAACTACGGTGCATACACACAGTGGAATGTTATGCAATGATAAAGAACAATGATGATCTGTGAATCATCTCACAACATGGATGAATCTGGAGGTTATTATGCTGAGTGAAATAAGTCAATCACAAAAGGACAAATATTGTGTGAAAACTCATGAAAAGGTTTACACACATACAGAAACAATCTTTGATGGTTATGAGGGAGAAGAGGGGTGGGAAAAGAAAAACACTAACTAGACAATAGATAAATGGTAACTTTGGTGAACGGTAAGACAGTACACAATTCTGAGGATGTTAGTGCAACTTGACCAAGCAAAGATCATAGAAGCTTCACAGACACATCTAAACTCCATGAGGGACTGAATTAATGGGCTGAGGCCTGGGGAACATGATCTTGAGGTACATCTAGTTCTATGGGGATAATATAGTTTATAAAGTAAATGTTTTACATCTCACTTTGGTGAGTAGCATCTGAGGTCTGAAAAGCTTGTGAGCAGACATCTAAGATACTCCACTGGTCTCACCCTGTCTGAAGCAAGGGAGAATGAAGAAAACATACACAAGGGAAAGATTAGTCCAAAGGACTATGACAACTACCACAGCCTTCACCAGACTGATTCAAGCACAATTGATTGTGCCCGGCTACAACAGCTAACTGCTCTGACAGGGATCACAATAGAGGGTCCCAGACAGGGCTGCAGAAAAATGTAGTACAAAATGTTAACTCATTTAAAAAAAAAAATGAGACTAAATGGACACACAAGCCCAGGGACAAGGACAAGATGGCAAGAGGGGACAGAACAACTAATAATGGGGAACCTAAGTTTGAGAAGGGGAGAGTGTTGACATGTAGTGGGGTTGGCAACCAATGTCACAAAACAAAATGTACCTCAATTTTTAAATGAGAAGCTAGTTTGCTCTGTAGACCTTCATCTACAGTATAAGTAAGAAATAAAAATTAAAAAAGTAAAAATGGAAAAAAAATAAAATGCAAAAAAAGCAAAAATAAAATAAAATGTCATTTACATATTTAAAAAAATAGAACGTAGCATACTGACAGAGTTTTGCACTTTTAAATATCAGGCATCACTCCCACAGCTATTCATAGAAATGTATCTAGACTAGGAAATCGTGTGAAATGAAATTAAATGTATAATACATGACTATAAAATAATGTGTCTGCTTTCAAAATAAACACAATTAAGTTGTTGGCAAAGAATATTTAATATACCGCGGACTGCCAAAATAAAGAAAAATTTGTCATGGAAGAAGTACAGCGAGAATGCTCCTTATATGCAAGAATGGGAAGACTTCATCTCACTTACTTTGGACATGTTATCAGGAGGGACCAGTCCTGGAGAAGGACATCATACTCAGTAAGTAGAGGGTCAGCAAAAAAGAGGAAGACCCTCAGTGAGCTAGATTGACACAGCGGCTGCAACAATGGGCTCAAGCATGACAAAGATTGTGAGAATGGCATAGGACCAGGTAGTGTTTCCTTCTGTTGTACATAGGGTCACTATGAGTCGGAACTGACTCGACAGCACCTAATAACAGCAAAAAATTTAACTTAATAATAATGAAGTTAATATGACTCTTAAAGTAGATAGGGTAAGTACTGATAAATGGGAAAAAAATTTAAGGAAAATGCACTTTACTTCATCTGTTTTATAAAATGACCGAACTAAAACTTGTGACCACATCAGCAAATCTATTGACCCAAATCTCTATTTAAAAATTTCTGGTATGCCACTTTAGTATGTGTCTGTTCTCTACAAGGGAGATTTATGTATCCTTCCACACGGAATTGATTTGGGCCAGAAAAAGATTTCACTCGAGCACAATTTTCATATTTCCTGGGTCAGCACAATCTCATAGAATAGATAGTGGTCCAAGATGGATGGTCCAAAATCTCCAAGAACCTGAATAAGGACTTTGGGAAATGGATCTTCTTCATTTGAGACTTCCATCATTCAATAACCTCCCCACTCCTAAATTCTTGTAGAAAAAAAGTCATTTCTAGAACAAAGATTGAAGCTGAATTTGATACTTTCTTTTGATGAGTGATATTCTATAGTCAGACATAGAAAATATCTTCTACATTTTCACAATTCACATGTTTCCTCCTAGCCTAACCAAGTGGCTGAGCCAACAGTGTGGGCCTATAGAAAATACTCCCTGGCTTTTCTATGTTTGAATTCTGACTGGAAAAGAACAGCAAAGCCTATAAATAATTGCTCACTGAGGGGTACAGACTGCAGGTTCCAGGGAACTGAGAGAAGAGGGAGATGCTTGGAGCTATACAATGCAGTTAGCATGGTTATTGGTCCTGGTCAAGTGTGACCCAGGTGCCTGGTGAGAGAGTATGTTCAGACCTCACATCTAACACTTTCTTGCAGAGAGATATTTAGGCTAGCTACCTTACTCCTCAAGAGTCATCGCTGGCACAGTGGTACAATTCTCGCCTTCCATGCGGAAGACCTGGATTCAAATCCTGGCTGATACACCTCATGTACAACCACCACCTGTCTGTCAGTGAGGGTTTGTGAGTTGCTATGATGCTGAAAAGGTTTCAGTGGAGCTTACAGTCTAAACATACTAGGAAGGAAGTCCTGGTTACCTACTTCCAAAAACAGGCAATGAAAATCCTATGGATCACAACAGTATGATTGGCAAACAATCAGGGGATGGAGGAGGAGCAGGCAACTTTGCATTCCATTGTGCATAGGGTTGCCAGGAGTCAGGGGACTAATAACAGCAGCTACCAACAAAAACAACAACCTCACTTCTCCAAGCCTCCTTGTCCTTGGCTTTATAGCAGGAAGGAGAAGAGTAGCTCCCTCACAGAGTTGTTGTGAAGATGGCTTATTAGCACAGCGCTGAGCATACAGTTGTCGGCTATTGCTTTAGGCAGGAGGTAGGATTTAATCAAGGTTTTATGTTGGGTAGGATCTGTGTGGGATGAAAAGAAAGAAGGTTCCAGAATGGGGAGCAACGTGTGAACAAAGCCAGAGGCAGAAATGAGATGAAGTGTAGAGAATAACTGCTGAAATTTTCAATCTTTTTACCAATTGTACTAAGAAGACACAAAACTTACATAATGAATATTTTGTGCATTTAACCAGTGGAAGAATACAGATCCCAAATCCTGTTCCCCTGGAGATTCTGATTCAGCAAGTTTAGGGAGAGAAACACAGCCAGAATACTCCTTAGAATTGAATGTGAAGAGACTTCATTTTGCTTAATGTGTGCATGTCATCAGGACAGACCAATCTCTGGAGAAGAACGTTATGTTTGTTCAAAAAGAGGGTTGGTGATACAAAGGAAGACCCTCAAGGATATAGACTGACACAGTGACTACAATAATGATTGTGAAGTTGGCACAGGACTGGGTTGAGCTTCATTCTGTTATACACAGAGTCACTGTAAGTAGGAACAAATTCTAGGCACCTAACAAAAACAAAAGGGAGAGACCAAGGAATCTGTATATGAAGAAACACTACATGTATTTTGGGTCATGTAGATTACACTAAGCTTACTAATCATAACACTCAAGCTATCCCATGAGTCTATGAAAACATATTTTAATATAATTGTTGGACCCTAACTTTTTTAAGTTTAAGTAACTCAAAAAGAACTTCCATCACTACCATGGAAATCTCTACTCCAGATGTGAAACAACCATGATTTCCTTATTGCTTGTTGCAGCTGTTGTAGGTGCCATCCAGTAGGTTCATTGTTACCCTACATACCAAAGAATGAAACACTGCCCAGTCCTGCGCCATCATCACAATCGTTATGCTTGAGCTCATTGTTGCAGGCACTGTGTCAACCCATCTTGGTGAGGGTCTTCCTCTTTTTCCCTGACCTTCTACTTTACTAAGCATGATGTCTTTCACAAGGGACTGATCTCTTCTGATAACATGTCTAAAGTATGTAACAGAAAGTTTCACCATCCTTGCTTCTAATAAGCATTCTGGCTGTACTTCTTCAAAGACAGATTTGTTCCTTTTTCTGGCAGTCCAGTGTGTATTCAATATTACCAACACCGTAATTCAAAGACAACAATTCTTCTTTGGTCTTCCTTATTCATTGTGCAGCTTTCACATGTATATAAGGCGATTGAAAACACCATGGCTTGGGTCAGGTGCATCTTAGTTTTTAATGTGACATCTTTGTTTTTTAACACTCTAAAGATATCTTTTGCAGCAGATTTGCCCAAAGAAATGCAATGCATGTAAGAAAATAACATTAATGGTGTAACTTCAAGTAAATAAAAGACTATATTTAGGCAGACTACCTCAAACACAAAGCAATCCACTTACATGAAATCACTTTCAAGCTTACTGTAGTATTTCGGAAGTTTCAGCATCTCCACAACTTGATCATAAGCCTCTTTCACTGCTTTCAAACATTCCTTGTTATGAGTGCCCAGAGAATTCTGAACTCCTTCAAGGTACTCTAAGAATGTGGAAAAAAATTGATGCATTTAGTATAATTTAATTGTAACCATTTATAAAATATAATTCTTTAAACTGTGCAATTACCTCAGTCTTATGACAAAGTTAAGAAACTTCAAGATTAAAGGATTTTGTCAGAATGCCGAGAAAAGTCACTAGTAACTGCAAATTCTGTTCTAATAATGAACTAGGACGTAGTTTTACCATTTACAAGAGGTTTGGGGAGAGATGCCTGAATTTTACACCTTTCAGAATTATTGGATCAGATAAGATTCTATCAAGGCTACAAAAACCAAAACTGTTTACATTTGAAAAGTTCAAAAATTAAAGGAAATTTTACAAGGAATGTATCTCTTGGGGGGGGGGTGGGAGAGTTTTTTCTTTTTGCAAGAAAAATTTAATTAAGTAGAAATTTTGTATTTTACTCATTTTAATGGGAACATGTATGCAGAAGCCCAAATTGCCAACGAAGAGTTTTTTCCACCTGGAGAAATCCTAACACCATTAATTATAAATGTTTTATCACAAAGTCAGGTAGCAGGAAAGAAAATTGAAAGACAACTTCATAATAGGAAAGCTTTATTCTTCAAAAAAGTGATCTTCCTTTACTTCTTTGGAAATAGTTAAATCATGATTTCTTTCACTATCAAATCAACTGCTAAGACTTATCACCTCATTTCCACCCATTAAGAAGCTATGGCCAGTTATATAGCTGCAAATATGGATACTAGCTCTTGGGAGCTTAGGAACCTCTTATGGAACCCTGTCATATGGGAAGGCAGAAAGACTCAAGTTGCAGGACGCTATGTTATTGGGCCATGCTTGATTAAGCGATCACTAACTTACAGATATTTTTGTCATTTTATACATATACGCATATATATACCATAAAAACCAAACCAGTTACAGCCAAGTCAATTCCAACTCATGGTGACCTCATGTGTTTTACAGTAGAACTGTGCTCTATAGGGTTCTCAAAGGCTGATTTTTCAGAAGTAGATCACCAGACCTTTCTTCCAAGGTGCTTCTGGGTGTACTTGAACCTCCAAACTTTCAGTTATCAGCCCAGAGTGTTACTGTTTGTGCTACCCAAGGACTCCCATTTATAGATAGACTCACCATAAAAATTAACCTTTGCTAGCATTGGTGCGCTGCTGCCCACTGCTGCAGCAAACAGGTCAGGGTGTTTTATTCTTGACCACACTGCAAGGGAGCCGCCATAAGAGCCACCAAATACAACCCATTTATTTCTGGTGAGCCCTGCTGTCTTTGCTACTTTAGTTCGGAAGTTGACAATGTCAGCCAAGGCTTGCCTGCTGCTGAGGTAGCGGAGACTGGCAGTACTCAGATCTCTGCAATTAAAGCAAAAAAACACTCTGTGACAATAAAGTAGAAAATGTGAAGATTAACATCAGCTGGAGTATAAAGTAAAAATGAATATTATGAAAACGTGTTGAGTATATCAGGTCCAATTTGAAATTTTAATTAGCATAAACCTGATTGACAGTGACACATAAATGCAGGAACTAGCAATAATTGCCAGCATTTGTCTCACTTTAGTTCTTTCATTTCCTCTTGTCACCTACTCTGAAGGAACTTCAAATGCCTGTCCCCACCCATGTGGTGACCTTTCTCCATACACTGAACTGAAGCACAGCTATCACATTATTACCCTGACTCAGAGAGGAGCCCATTTTTCAAATGGCTAAATTGTCAGTGATTTAATTGTTTGCAAGGCATTAAGAAAACACATAGTTAATTATACTGATGGTATTTTCCATACTTTCGCCTTTGCTGCTACATCTAGACAAACTACTATTTGAACCTAAGTTTCTCAGTCATAAGAAAACTAAGTAAAATTTTTGTAAGTTATTTTTCAATCATATTTCCTTCATTAGTTTCCTATAATCCTGGGATGTTTTTATCCCTTATTGCTGAAGGAAAAACTCTCCCTCCTCTTGCATGATGCTATAACTAGCTGATCATGAATTTCAAAGTAGACAAAGGGCATAGAATATTCACAAAAAAAAAAAAAAAAACACATGTAGCTAGCAAATACATGAAAACATTTAGCCCTATCTATTATCAAAGCAACACAAATATCAGTATCTTTCCCCTCCTATCAAACTGGTAAGATTTATTTTAGTACTCAGTGTTGGCATGGATGTGACTAGGCAGCCCCTCTCCGGTATCACTTGTGGAAGTATCTGCTAGTAGAATCATTCAGAAAGCAATTTGTGCTCATAGAAAAAACACTTCAGGAGACAAAACGTATAACTTGGTTCAGCAATTCTCCTACTAAGAAGCTACAGAAAAACCTGCTAATTTTCCCCTTATGTTCACTCTCGCTTTTATCTTTAGGTAATCAAAGTCCTGAATTTCATCTGGGTGCATGGCTGCCCAGAATAAACACTGCATATACCAGCCACCCTTCCAGCCAGATGTGGACTAACTGAGTAAGATCGTGAGCAAATGAGATGTAACTGGAAAACTGTAGGTAAGATTTATTGCAATATCTAATCATAGAATTCAACCCACTTTCTAAGAGCAAATCATCAGATCCTTATACTTTCCCCCTAATTGCTCAAAATCCAAATTCTATTGTAGGTTCTTTCTAATACATTCTTACTAAAATGTACCACATGAAGTTAATTTGGATAGCAAAGAAGTTATTTGCCATAGTTAATTGCAAAAACACAAGTGATTCCATTCATGAATAACAATTACTTCCTTTGAGAGATTAATAAAGAAATCCTGCACTTAAAATTATTTATAGATTATCATAGCATCATTAACACAAACACACACAAATCAAAGTTTCTAATGAACAAATGTAGAATGGATAGAAATATTGGAGTGTCACAACATTACCAAAAGTTAAGTGAAATGCAAGTCAAAAATCACATTTGTGGAATCACTGCTAGAAAAAAGCCTGTGAAACTTGCAATAATTATTAGTCTGTCATGTGAAAGGTACCAAGAATTATGACTCTTATAGTAAATGTATCTCTTCACTGACACTTCTCACATTCTCAGGGTTATAAGAAGCAATTCTTATTTCTTATTTTAATGATAATAAAAGATTCAAATATTAAATTGGATTTTTCAGAACTTTTTCTTAAGGAAATTTTTTTACTATAGTTGAAAAAGAATCATATTACAGACTGGGAAAAAAATTTTGGACAGCGTAAGTCAAACAAAGGTCTAATCTCCATAATTTACAAGCAAATCCAACGCGTCTACAACAAAAAGACAAATAATCCTATTAAAAAATGGGCAAAGGAAATGAACAGACACTTCACCAAAGAAGACATTCAA